TCATGGGTCCAGGATTCTGGTGCCGAGGTCGGGTCACTAATTTGTCGTAACGCAGAAACGCAATTTCTCTTCTCACCCTAGCCGCTCTTAACATCGGCATCAACTCTCTTCTTCTCTTCCTCACAGACTCGGGGTAATCTTTGTTGATGTAAATATTAGTTCCCTTAAGCCTCTTTGCTTGCTGCAGAATGTTTGCCTTATGTTTCTCTTTCATCAACTTGACCAACACCGCTCTCGGTCCACGATCAGAAAGTTTCCCGACTCTGTAAACCCGTTCCATCTCTATTTCTTGATGAATTTGCAGTTTGTCCTTTAAAATCTCCTTCACCTTCCGTTCCGCTTTCGTCCAGCTTTCTCCAGCTGTCTCCTTGATTCCCTCGAAGATTAGGTTTTTTTTGCTTGGACTGTGCTTCCAATTGCTCCATTTTATACGTTATAGTTATTATACTCTCACAAGTTTTGTAGACGTCATGCCTAGTGTTTTTGGCATGTATTTCCTGCTCACCCACGGCTGCTTTAATTGCATCCACATCTTGCTGGGTAAACTGCAAACTCGTTTTTATCTCCTGTATTCTTTGGTCATGTCGTCGAGTTTCTTGTTGTTTGTTTCCATAATTAGTTTCACAAAGCCTTGGAAGCTTTCTTATTACATGACCCGGCAGCACTGACCTGTACATATTTGAAATTCATTATTTAAATTACTTAATGAAATTTCTTATTTAAAAATGTGCACTTGACTGGAAGCCAGTAGTGCAATGTTCCTGCCAATTGTAAAGCAGCAGAAATTCTCCCTATGCTGCACGAACATTATACTAAAGCAAACACAGTGTGAACAGCTATTATCCAAGGCAAATACATATCTATATTATTTATGTATTTGAGAAAGAAGCTCAAAAAGAATTTGTGGAAATAGTGCAGCGCACTAACACTGATGTACTTACATCCATAAAAGGCTCTGGAGACTATCTGTCTCTTCATGTTCTGGCACAGCATCTTCAGAGGAATACTGGTGGAAACAGGAGGTCACTAGTTATCACCAAGCCAAAGTTATGTGTCGGACTCTAAAATATTTGTCTTTCATAAGGAAGCCCCCACTATGGCTGTTCTTCAGCTGAACAGATAGTTTGCAAACATACTGGCTTCCTACCTGACAATGGTACACTGTGAAACAAAATGTGCACAGCAGAATGTTTGCTTTTAGTTTTATAGTGCATACGTGTGAATGTCTGAAGGCTCGTGTATGCAGGTACAGCCGGCTGAGTAGTTGAATGACACGTTGCTACCAGCTGTGGAGCAGGACTGGCACAGGGACTCACAAGTGGTTACTTCGGCCTGTTGCCACAATGATGGGCTTCCTCTGAAACCCTGCATCTCCATCATTTCCCTGTGGTCTAAACCTGAAAGAATTCAAGTAAGAAGAAAAGCAGATTTCTCAGTGCTTCTCTTATCCTGTATTAAACATCTGCACCTTTAAATCCAATTCACAATGGATATGTTTTATGCCTTACATATTATGACAGAGGTCCCCCAGCTCAACCATAAATACATCTTTCTGTGTATTGTTCCTTGATATTCGTGACACCAAGAGATGAATAGATGGGTGGATGTTTTACACTACATGTGTCAAACTCAAGGCCCGTGGGCCACATCCGGCCCTGTGTACAATTGCATCCGGCCCGCGAGATCATTTTATATATCTGTTTTTAATGGCCCGGCGATATAAGCACCGATAACACACAACTACAAATCCCATAATGCAGCGTAACAGCTGCCTTACCGAACGATAGACTACCTGCAATCATTCTTGCGTCAATTACGTCAGATCAATCAAGCGTCTGTTGATGTATACAACCCTAATTTCGAGTCAAAGCTAGCTCCTAACAATGGCCAAGAGAAGAGTTGATTCTGAAAACAGAGCCTTTCGGTGGGAGGCTGAGTATATGTTTACTGACATTGTCAGTAAACCCGTGTGTCTTATTTGTGGAGCTAATGTGGCTGTAATTAAGGAATATAACCTAAGACGGCACTACGAGACAAAACATCAGGACGAGCTGAAAAACGTGAATGCAGAGCAGAAGCTACAGAAGATAGAGGAGTTGAAGAGGAATCTGACATCACAGCACGTTTTCACCAAAGCGAAGCTGCTGTGAGCGCAAATTTTATTGCGGCAGAGGAGATAGCCAAATCAGCCTGGCCATTTACTGAGGGAGAGTTTCTGAAGAGCTGCATGATGAAAGTGTGCAACGTCTTGTGTCCAGACAAAAAGCAGGTGTTTGCAAATGTAAGCCTTAGCAGAAATACAGTTGCTGATTTTAAGTTCAAGTTTATTTATTTTGGAATAATATTGTATCCTGTCTGTTTTGATTCATATTTATATTCAAAAAACGTTTAGGTCGCGGGCCGAACAGGATAAAAATTTATTGAACAGACTAAAACTAAAGTGTGCTTTGAGTTTTGGCCCCCTGTGCGATTGAGTTTGACACCCCTGTTTTACACTAATGTTACATGGGGGCTGTAAAAACAAGTTTAGAGGAAACCAAAAGTGACAGTTTAGGAAGCAGGAGCAATGATGTGGGAGAGACAGGCAGAGAAGGATGCAAGGAAACCATGCTGGATCAGCTAATTCAGGGGGGAGGCAGAGGAGACAGCAGAGCTCAGGAGGATGCAACAGGAGAGAGGAGAAAGTAGAAAAGGAAGAAGAGAGGAAGTGACAGAAGGGAGGCAGGGAGGAGGCTGATGCTCAGGCCATGCAGGATGCATGAAGCCAGAACCAGACAAGAAGCACCAAAGAGAAATTATCTCTGAAACAGCAAAAACAAATGGACACCAGTAATAGAGCACACAAAGGGAAGGGGAAAAAATCACAAAGACTTCAACATTAAATAAATGCTCTTCACCTTAATTCTTCAGGTTGGAGCTGATGACCTGTCATAAATATGAAGCTGTGCTTTGGCTGTTCAGTAACCCCCCAAAACAAATCATATATATAAAAAAATTAATCAAAATAAAAAAAAAAGAAAAAATGATGGAATGAGGCCAACATCTGGCCTCCCCATTCTTTACTTTAGGGCTATATGTGATCAACAGCTGATTTGGGCTCAGTAATGCAACCCCGCTCACACAGAGACTCCACATCTCTACTACTGCGGAACCACACAGGACCGTAATGAGAGGGGTGGAGGAGGGGGTGAGAGGAGGGGGAAGGGGTGGTGTGGTTAGTGAAGAATTACAGTGAACAGCATTGCAGCAAAGGACTGCACAAACAAGAGAAATAACTGAGGAAGTCAGAAAAGCCAAAACGAACAGGAGGAGACTGTGAGAAAGGATTTCCATCACAAATACGCAGAAACACAGTCATTCTTTAAAAAACAATGAAAGATGTGTATATTTCCCATGCAAAAACTGTCAAGCATGTTGCAAGTGAGGAATGAAGGGACAAAAAGAAGGGAAACAATTAAGTCAAATGAAAGAAGTGCAGAACACTAAGCAAGTTATTTAAACTTATTTTTAGCAATGACAGCATAGCCCAGCAGTGCTGAGACGTGCTTGCTCTCACACAACCCTAAGGCAGTCAGCACTGCAAATCCCAGAATGCAAAGTTGTCAGAAAGTTCTTGACCAAAATGAGGTAGTTTGAATCTGTGATGGAACCACTTGACAGATTTGTGCAGTCACTTAGCAGCACTCTCTATAAAGCAAGTCTGTTCATCCAACTGTGTGTGATTCCAGTGTGCGTTTCACAGGCTTCTCTCTCCCTGCCAAACAAGTGGATTTAGTTGTGTTGCCAAGCAGTGGGAAGAAAGAGAAGAGACAGAGAGAGTGAAATTAAGCAGGAAGAATGTAGAGGGAGTGTGTCAGAAGCTGTTGAGGCATTAACTGGATTTCTGATGATATCTGTGACTAAGCTCTCATTTTCTAATGTTAATGTACCAGATCACAAGTTCCAGGAAGTCTTAACTGCAGCTGTCATTTATGTCATAGCACAAGGGAAACAGTCAACAAGAAAGAAGATAACTAAGTGCAGGTCTGTTTGTGGTTCCTAGAGTCTACAGAAGTAGAATGGGAGGCAGAGCCTTTAATTATCAAGCTCCTCTCCTGTGGAACCAGCTCCCAGTTCAGGAGGCAAACGCTCTCTCTACCTTTAAGATTAGACTTAAGACTTTTTGATAAAGCTAATGGGAGATTTTCCTCCCCGCTGTCACCAAATGCTGCTCAAGGGGGATTTGTTGGGTTTTTTCTATAATACTGTAATAATACAATGAAAGTGTCCCAAGATGACTTTGTTCTGATCTTGCATTATGCAAATTAAACTGAACTGAACTGAAATATTTTATTGTTGCGTAAATACCATAGAATGGTTGGAATATGCTACCAGAGACTGAGATATAGATCTATCTAGTTCTAGAGATAATCCTAACATAAAATGATTCACCTGGCTGCATGTTAACAGACTAGTTATAACTTGTGTCTGTGTGTGTCCATGTGTGTGTCACTATCCTTCAAAATGGTGTGCAATGAAGACTTCCTCATTCCCTTAGACTTCCTCTCATTTTGCTTGTGCTACTCCTCTCTCCTTCCTTTCCTTCTCCATCTGACACCCAGGGCCTGGAGCTACTGTACTATTCACTTTTTTCTTTGGCAGTTTTGCAGAAGATCAGCATTACAATTCATTGTTAGAATCTATGCTGACAGTTCACTGCTACACTTGGGCAAAAATGGTCATCAGAGTTTGAGGGTATCTTAATGACGTTTTGCTAATGGATGCTGTGCATTTGACTAGGCCAAGAATACTGAGTGCAATATGTTGAAACATTAAAGCCTGACCCCAGACACACAACAATACAAATGGAAGAGTATGTGGATCCAAAGCACCATACTGCAAGCAGCAATTCTGCATGTTGCAGTCACTAAAAAGATGTCACATGTAGCATTTTAACATCAGTGACATTAACAAATTTCTGGCCACTTGGGGCACGGGAACAAGCTGAAAAAACATAATCTGTTCAACTTCAGTATTTCTAGATAACATGTTAGTCAGCAGTTACCTAATGCAGCAGACACAGGGCAACATTAGCATTAATCTGTGTCTTTCCACTTGATGAAAATAGGAACATCAACTTTCCTTTATGCTCAGCTTTTGTCTCCACCAACTCCTGAAGAAAATACCCATGTCTTTAGCCACTATATGCTCAACGCTCTCCACCAACTAGTTCCTAAATTTTTCTGCCTGCTGTTTAGTGCTGAGCAGTGGCATACAGTGGATTTAACTTATCTGAAGTTTGTGTGGAAAACACTAGCCACTGTGGCTGGAAACAAAGCTGATGAGAGCAGAATTAAGTGGACCTTACAATCTTTTGTGCAAAATCTTTAGATAATCATTTTAGTTTAAAGCAACCTTTTTCATTCAACCTAGTCTTTTGATCAATTTTTTAATATAAGTGTATTGGTTAGAGGAAGAATTCCTAAGACTGTGACAGAGACAACAGATGATCTGTCTCATGGCAGAGGAATGTCAGGGCTAAAAGATCACACTTCTAATTCAAATCCTGCTGCATCCTGTCCTTTACAAATCACTTTTATCATACCTGAGGACAAACAAATAGGAGGATATGAAATAGGATTTGCTATCTGTTTACTCAGTGTAGCACCTGTCAGAATCCTGGATTGTGTTAGTTATTTGCCATAAAGCTTCTCATTTTGTGCTGTACAACTTTCTAGCTCATTTTTTACATTAAGTTCAACCTGGCAGGCCAAAGTTAGATATAGCTAGAGGCCTTAATTTTCAATATGGCTAACATTTGACTTGCTTTCTGACCTTGTACCTGGTTTTGTTGGTTTTTGGATTGTTGATCCACACCAGTGTTTGTTTTTTATTTATTTATTTTTCCTTTTCCTTCCTTTAATAAATTTTAAAGCAACTTTGCATGTGAGATTTGCGTTGATCGGGTGGGGTGGGTGTGTTAAGGTGATAAAAACCTTTCATGACATTAGGGTCTGTGAGGTTCCGCGAGCAGATCATTGAGATCATAGCATGAAGCCTATCATCTTCTTCCTCATCATCATCCAGCGATGGAGCGCGGCTGCCCGTGGTGTGGTGGTAGTTTATAGTGACTGCTTGCACCAGTGGGACAACAGAGAACACAGTTAGAACAATGACACCCTACAGGTCTCAAGATGGGCACTGTGGATAAAACAGCACTACAATGGTACTTTATAAACATATGATGGGAAGACAGACAAACCTAGTCAAAAGGCAAAAGCAATCACAGAGATGACTGTTAGCCATAGAAGAGGGATGTGCAATTTTCATTGTGTGCAGCCTCTGCTGCCTTGGAAACACTTTGTACCAGTGTGCATAGCAATGTAGAATTGTTACTTACTGGCATCATAGCGGTATCCTGGATAAACGATGCGAAACACATAGTCAGCAGCTGTCTGCTCCTCACCATTCTTGTCCTGGTCAGTGAGCCTGGCAGTACTGCTCCTCTTCCTCAGTTTGGGGAACACTTTTCCCTGCAGGACAGACACAAAATACAAAAACGTATACAGAAATAAACTATTAAAGCTGCACTTATTTTAAATGTTTGCTGCACCTTCTGTAGCCAGCATAAAGTGATTGTGGTTCTTCGTATTAGGTACATTAAACAGAGACTGACCACTTGCATCAGTCAAGTAGATGCTGCCATAACCAAACTCCCCCCCAGTGCCTCTTCAGTTTGACTGTGTGCTGCTAAATTATGGTTTGAGCTTATCTGGAAATTTTGACTTGCTAAATTACGGTTTGAGCTTATCTGGAAATTTTGACTTTGAACCATTCAATGAAAGCAGTATAGGAGACAGGAGAGGCAAATATGAAGTCTTTTAGTTTAATACTGTATGTGTCAAATTGTAATGGATTTTAATACTGTAGAAATAAGTAGTATCATGGTCGCTTCTGCTAGGACTTTTTTGTACAAAAATGTATAGCATTTGAAAATCACAGGCTTCTAGTATTGTATTGCTTGCTATATATTTTCAAATACAATTTACCGGTAGTAGCATTCTCCCTTCCTGAATGCACTAATAATCTGTTGCCCTAACATGAATATCTTACCTGCAGTATTGACATTCAAATCAGAACTTTTATTGTCATTGCTCAATCGCAACAAAATTTCAGTGCATCTCCTTCCCAGGGGTAAGTTAAGAACATGTAAAATAAAACCACACAGTAAATTACCATGTTACAAAACAATTGCTCATGTTGCACATAAAAGAATCAGTGCTGGGTATATTGCACATAAGACTCAATCTATTGAGTGACACAGTTCAGTTCTTACATGTTGCACAGGTAGAAACTGTTTTGGTATCTGGAAGTCTGAAGTCTTCTGGAGGGCAGCAAGTCAAATAGGTGACTTCCTGGGTGAGATGGGTCATTGATTATGTTTGTGGCTCTGTGCATACATCGGATACTGCATATACAGTATCCCCTAGTGTGGCAAGCGATGTGTTGAAGATGTCCTGTGCTGAGTTTATAATTCTCTGTAATGCTTTCCTCTCAGCCACAGTGTAGCTTGAAAACCACACACTTTCCACAGAGCAGGGGCAGAATGACCCTTCAAAAATAAAGGTACAGCTGTGCTTCCTTTGCTAGCGAGGCCATGCATTGACATTAACCACTCGTTAAGTTTCAATGTGAATACAGTGAAACTCTAACAGGGTGACACACCTTGCCTTTTTGGGACCAGAGAGGGGGCTCCAGCTGGCCCCGCGGTAAAAGGCCTGTTTCCAGACAGGAGAGGAAGGCCAGGAGGTGACCACCAGGGGGGAAGTGGAGGGGTGGTCGCTGGATTCCATCCTGACTGACCAGAACCAGGGTACCACCACAGTCAGCTGGAAAATGGTGGAAAAACATTACGCAAGGATGAGATGGGAACAGAAAAAGAGGACAAACTGAATCACGTAACACCTTTTTTCTTTTCAAGCTAAGGAATACATTTACAGTGCCTTGCGAAAGTATTCGGCCCCCTTGAACTTTGCGACCTTTTGCCACATTTCAGGCTTCAAACATAAAGATATAAAACTGTAATTTGTTGTGAAGAATCAACAACAAGTGGGACACAATCATGAAGTGGAACAAAATTTATTGGATATTTCAAACTTTTTTAACAAATAAAAAACTGAAAAATTGGGCATGCAAAATTATTCAGCCCCTTTACTTTCAGTGCAGCAAACTCTCTAAAGAAGTTCAGTGAGGATCTCTGAATGATCCAATGTTGACCTAAATGACAAAGGATGATAAATAGAATCCACCTGTGTGTAATCAAGTCTCCATATAAATGCACCTGCACTGTGATAGTCTCAGAGGTCCGTTTAAAGCGCAGAAAGCATCATGAAGAACAAGGAACACACCAGGAAGGTCCGAGATACTGTTGTGGAGAAGTTTAAAGCCGGATTTGGATACAAAAAGATTTCCCAAGCTTTAAACATCCCAAGGAGCACTGTGCAAGCGATAATATTGAAATGGAAGGAGTATCAGACCACTGCAAATCTACCAAGACCTGGCCATCCCTCTAAACTTTCAGCTCATACAAAGAGAAGACTGATCAGAGATGCAGCCAAGAGGCCCATGATCACTCGGGATTAACTGCAGAGATCTACAGCTGAGGTCGGAGACTCTGTCCATAGGACAACAATCAGTCGTATACTGCACAAATCCGGCCTTTATGGAAGAGTGGCAAGAAGAAAGCCATTTCTTAAAGATATCCATAAAAAGTGTCGTTTAAAGTTTGCCACAAGCCACCTGGGAGACACACCAAACATGTGGAAGAAGGTGCTCTGGTCAGATGAAACCAAAATCAAACTTTTTGGCAACAATGCAAAACGTTATGTTTGGCGTAAAAGCAACACAGCTCATCACCCTGAACACACCATCCCCACTGTCAAACATGGTGGTGGCAGCATCATGGTTTGGGCCTGCTTTTCTTCAACAGGGACAGGGAAGATGGTTAAAATTGAGCGGAAGGTGGATGGAGCCAAATACAGGGCCATTCTGGAAGGAAACCTGATGGAGTCTGCAAAAGACCTGAGACTGGGACGGAGATTTGTCTTCCAACAAGACAATGATCCAAAACATAAAGCAAAATCTACAATGGAATGGTTCACAAATAAACATATCCAGGTGTTAGAATGGCCAAGTCAAAGTCCAGACCTGAATCCAATCGAGAATCTGTGGAAAGAACTGAAAACTGCTGTTCACAAACGCTCTCCATCCAACCTCACTGAGCTCAAGCTGTTTTGCAAGGAGGAATGGGCAAAAATTTCAGTCTCTCGATGTGCAAAACTGATAGACATACCCCAAGCGACTTACAGCTGTAATCGCAGCAAAAGGTGGCGCTACAAAGTATTAACTTAAGGGGGCTGAATAATTTTGCACGCCCAATTTTTCAGTTTTTTATTTGTTAAAAAAGTTTGAAATATCCAATAAATTTCATTCCACTTCATGATTGTGTCCCACTTGTTGTTGATTCTTCACAAAAAATTACAGTTTTATATCTTTATGTTTGAAGCCTGAAATGTGGCAAAAGGTTGCAAAGTTCAAGGGGGCTGAATACTTTCGCAAGGCACTGTATATACTGTGATGTAAAAAACATCAAAAGACAGTGAGAGTACAGGCACATACACATGCAATCAAATGTAAGAGTCACACAGGTTACATGCAGGCACTAAACAGCAGCTTGTGAAAGTGCATTTCTGTCATAATGCTACTGTAAATGTGAGGTAACATGACTGTGTGTGAGTAGGGAGGGTTTGGAGGAGCAGCAGCAGTATACTCACAGTGCTGATGACAGTGGATACACACTATCTGGCGCAGAGGAACAGTCAGTGCATAGTCCCAGTAGATGCTATGAGAGAGAGAAATGTGTTTTAGAAAATGAAGCCTCAGGGGCAGTTGGAGCACCATTGCTATTTAGTTCTTTTTATAAATACATAGCAAGAACATCATGGCCGCAGTACCTCTTCTCCAGGTCACAGTCTCCCAGCGTGCCATTGATGAGCTGGTTGGGTGTCCATTTCAGGGTCAGGTTATCCCCAGCCTGGTGGAGTGACAAGTAGCCGCGCAACACCTCCATGTCCTTCTTCTACAATGGGAAATGGAAGAGGAAGAAGGAAAGACGACTGGTGTGAGTTTTGCAGTTGAATCACTTGAAATCCTTACATCCTCATTTGTTTCTTCATGCCTAAGACCTTGCCAGAAACCTTAATTTCTGTGCATATGTGTCATGATTCTGTCCCACCGGCTTCTGGTCCCAGGCTTTTATTTTGAGATTACTTCCTGTTTGGTTCGCCTCAGTTTTGGACTTTTTACATTAATCAGCTGGTATTGTTTTCACCTGCATCTCATCACCCAGATTGGCAACACCTGCTACACAAGCATATAGGCAACTTCCCCACATCAGGAAGTTGCCAGATTGTTCTAGACCTCAGCTTTGACTTTCCAGCATTCTTTCTCTGCCTGATTATCTTGTTCTGACCATGAATTGCCTTGACCACCGTGTTTGCCTTATTCCCCCCAGATTCTGATTGCCTGCTGTGTACCAACCCTCTGATATCTCCTCCCTGACCTCTCTCTTGTGGACCTCCTGGCTGTAGATGTTTACCGGCACAGACCTTGGACTGTATTATTGACCTGATTTTGATTCTGGACTTTGTACTGTTGTTTTGAGTGTTGCTAGTAAAAGACTATTCTCTACCTCAGTTTGTCTGGCAATATAATTGAGTTCACTACAAACACCATTTGGCAGCTTCACTCGCCAAACCTGACACATATGCACATATCAGTTTACATGGTCTTGACAAGTTGCACAGTAACTTTGAGCATAGACGTTCATTCTTGACCTCAGGAACACAGAGCACTTTGGGAATTGCTGAAAGTTATTGTATTGAAAAAGGCTGCAAGCTTTGGAAAAGCTAAGAAAATCCTGACACAATTTGTTTCTTAAATGCAACTGTAAATTTTGCTGTTGCTTATAAACACTCTGGAAATGACAAAACTGATAAATCTGACAGGAACTCAATTTATTTGTACTCACATGATCACATTTGTAGGAAGTAACATTTTAATAATGGTTGATGAGTTTTAAATCCTATGAGCACCACAAAGGTAGTTTCATTCACCTCCAATCTTAGTGTGGAGGCAAAAATGTCCTCTCTCCATACTGGACAAACAAAACCAAAATGATCTGCATAGCTACTTTGTCAGCATCTTACCAGTCAGAGCACAGAGTTGGGACTGGGGCTGACTTTTGAAGACTCTTTTCAGTCTGGAGGTCCTGTATAAAGATTGGGCTGTATAAAGACTGATCCATTTGTTTTGTTTTGCTCTGAGTACACCTACTGTCAAACCCTCCCTTACTATGGCTTCTTAAGAAAGCAGAACTGCATAGTGAACATGTTTGCTTCTGTAGGATTTTTGGAGTGAGAATGTGCTGCTGTACCGGTTGCACTAGGACGTTATTTTTGCCATAGAGAAGGTGTGTTCTGGAGTTTTGGTGAAGAGACTCCACATACTCCCTCGCTGATGCCGCAAACCTGTCTTCTGACATACTGCCACTTGACTGCCTCTTGCGGATCTAGGAAATAAGATTTTCAATAGTAAACTCATACAACTCACACAACTTTAACAAGGACTCCCATCCTAGATATCCTCGGTGATCAGTCCTACCCACCACCAAGCACCAGCACCATCTGGACTTAAGTAACCTCCACACTCACCCCCAGAGCAGGCCGGCGGCCTGCTGCATTGCCCTGACCCCGGTGAGCCCCATGGATACGATGGCGCTGAACTAGCTCATTTGCTGAGGGGTCGGTCCAAAAGTGGTCTGATGTCTTCAGCTTGGTGTACTCGAGAGCACAGGGCCCCACTGAAAACAGCACCCATATACAGACCCATTTACTGCACACTTAATGAGTAAAATTCCTCAATTTAATTAAAAGTCTATTTCTTAGTTAGTTCTAAACTTATTCTGTCTTGGTATAAGACTTTGTTGAATTGTTTCTCATGCTGCTAAATGATTATTTATGTGCTGATAATGTACTTTTATCATGTCTGTTTGTGAAGCAATTTGTAATTTTCTTACTTATTCATCAAATATTAATAAAACAGATTTGAGAGTGAAAACACTGACATTAAAGTGACATGCTTGCTTCAGTCTAATATATTCTACTAGGAGCTTGTGGCATTTTGTTTTTTCTTTTCTGCAGTTTTCACAGGTGTGTCCTAAACATTTTAAAATGCAGTTTGGAGCTATCTTTGTAAACACTATTGCTATTAATGCATAATATAATGACACCATTCCTATTTTCCTTACAGTCAACAAATCAAACAAAAACAATAAAGCCATGAATATTTCACAGTATTTTCTGGCTTACCTACCCTGTCTCTGATTCTGACTGGTTTGGTTGAAGAGACAAATCTTTAAAAAGAGATCACAAATACAATATACGGTTTCATTTTTAAAGAAGGCCCAGTAATTTCCTAAAACGCCTGGCCACTATAGTTTTTAGTAAATATGACTCAAACAGGAGGAAACAGTGCATTTGCTGGGGACTATTTTCTGTGGCAAGTTAATCCACATTAGATACTTGAGTGAACATTTAGGGCAGCAGGTAAGTGTGTGTGTGGCCCTGAGTCATAATAAACTACAGTGTGTGTGTGTTCATGCCACTGAAAGAGCATGTCAGCCAGGGCAACAGTGGGGTACACTGATATGTTTTTTGTTGTTCTTGGACATGAAGTTTTGACTCATACAGCACTGGTAACATTCACTGGGAAAATAATGTAAATGCAACTGTTTAAAGAATCATTCTATGTGGCACATTCTTGCTTTAATGCAACTGGTATCATAACAATATGCAAACAAATATATCAAAAACTGAATGTGTGATCTTGTGCACAACCACAGTTATGAGTCAGTACAATTGTTTAACCATTTTCCTCTGCTGGTATCAAACACATCTCTACTCTCAGACAATAGGTAAATTGTTTCCCAGCTGCTCACAATACAGTACCTCTAACTATATTTTCCGAATATATGTTCAAAGTGACTGAAGTATGCTTTAGTATATACTAAGTAAGAAAAAGACTATTTTAGTATATGTACTTTAAATGGTTAAAATGACTTTTGAGTTTGGTTTTGATCAACAATGTTGTATGAAAATTGAATCCACAGAAGAAATTAGCTCACAGCAGAAACCAGGGTCAAACTGTGAACAGTGGTGCAATGAAAGAAAAAAATCTATGTAAAAGTATTTCACTTATCAGTTAATACAGTATTTTCAGAACAAAGGGTTTCAGGGTTAAAGAATGACTCACATCTACTGCACCAATTTGTAGCAACTAAACAGAAGAGTACATACACTTTCTTCTGTCTAAACAGGGTCTTGCAATTGGTACACAGTAAATATTTTATAGTATTAGTAGTTATTTGAAACTAGAAATATAGTATGTTCTTCTGTCCACTTCCTCACTGTGTTTGACTGCTACACACCTGTTGCTGATTCTTACATCTGCATTATCAGCTACATCTGGTTACCTTTTTAGTCAGTATGTGCAGACAGAGTTGATTTTCCCTCAGCCAGCTGTCACACTGTTCACCTCCTCCTTGGTTTAGTCCACAAATAAGTTTGTTTCCTGATCCTGCCTGAATGGTCCTATTTCTCTGCTCATTAAATTGTGTCTAACAAACAATTTAACCAATAGTTCTAAGAGTGACTGAATCTGTGGTAAATTTGCGGATCGAGGAAATAGATCCTGTAATTTCAGCAACAACTGTATTTTGTTTACCTCATAGTAGAATTTAATATGAATATAGGGTAATTTGATCGGGAAGCTGTATTTTGCAGCTTTTGTTACAGTCCTCTGGTTTGGAGATGTAGGCAGTTCAAGCACAGTGAAATGCACTTACCCAGAAGGGCTGCCAAGATGGGCCCGAAGACTGGGTCATGCATCAGAGCTTCCCTCTCATAGTATTTACTGCAAAGAAAACACTCAAATAAAAAAAAGCATTGATAAATGTCGTCGGGTTCTAATGAGCAGTCCTCCTGGGCTGTACTGTATGTGGTAAGTCAAAAAGTGTCTTATATTTTATTCCTCAGAATTTCTGTTAACATGCACAGATGGATATATGGGGATAACTGTAAGTATTTAAATGGTTACATATTTTTTAAATTTGTTTTGATTTGAGTAGGATTACATAGTACATTACAGGGTGGAAAAGTAATTGGACACTTGGCTACTAAATGTTTGTTGGATGCTGTGTGTTGTTTCAATGTTAGTTCATGCACAAAAGAACTCACATGTGGCTCAGAGTTGTTAGTGAGCTGAGATTAGCCATTTAAGTTAATTTATTTTCCATACTCACTCTAGACTGATGAACATGTTTAGCTTCCAGAGTATGGCTTTACTTACTCAGAGCATGTGACTAGACTGGCATGTACAGTAAATAAGAACTCTACCTCTTTCATGTCAGTGTACTTAACCAGCTTCATGATATTATTAATCTGAGATCATCGCTGTTTGCAGTAAAGCCACATAACCCAGTGACAGCCAGACTAAGTTAAAATCACTTTGTATTACAGACCACAGGTTTACTGGGGTTGCTGTCTGGTTGCAAATGAGTGTATGTGATTCATTTCCTGTGCCTTTTATTTCTGAAAGACTGGCAAAAACTTGACATTTGCCATAGATGTCTACAGCCAAATTAGCTGAAGTACACTGCAGCTGTCTGAACACAATGTTATGCTTTCAACAACAATTCAACATCAAACAGTGCTGCTCATGCTTTAAAGTAGCCTCTTCTCTATATAAAATGTGTGATCCCTATAAGTTTGTGATCTCCATTAGTGCACTTTATGTTTGAAGCTTTAATCAGTGAAGTAGTGTGGGCAGCTTTTTAAAGCACACAGTGGTTGTCAGTCAGAGTCCAGAACAAAGCGACCATCAGACAAACATGGGACAAGAATGGAACATAAATGGGTAATTCTAGGGGCTGTTCATCATTCAGCTACAACAAAGCCTGGGCTGCAGTGCTATGAGTCACAGCTGTGCAGTTCTGAGGAGCAAATCACCTGGAATTGTCCACGATGTACTGCACTATCTTGTCCAGAACTTTTTCAAAGAGAGCTGTACGGACCCAGATGTGCTTGATGGCTTGGGCAGAGAGGGGCTGAGGTGGGCGACTGGTGGTGGAGGAGCCTTGTCTTCTCAGGGGTTCATGTCCCACACTCTGAGTTCTCCTACAGGGCACAAAGCACAGGTCAATACATTAACAATTATTAGGACACAGGAATGTTTGTATGTACAGCTTGATGGACACAAGACAAAAGGAACAAACCATCTTGTGTAGATTTTGTAGCAATAATGTGGAATCAATATTTAAGGTGTGGCTGTATTTTGGGATTAAGTTAAAAAGTTGTTAGTGAATTAAAAATGATACTTTCCACTGAAAATTTGTAATTCTAACAGAATTAAGCGATAGAAAATTAGTAATCAGTAAAATTGTAATGCTGTTTGGAAAAGCATTACCCAATATAATGTGAAGGTTACAGTTTTTCACAACTGCTAAAACAGTAAACCCCATTCTCTGAACCAAATTCTCAATAGCCTAAACCAATTTGTCGAATAAATCACTGTTTCTGCAAAACCTTAAACAAGTTCAGGCAGACACTGTTTGCAAATCTCATGCTAAACTCTAAACACATTCTCACTATGGAAAGTCTATGACCGAAACCCATATACCAGGGAAAATCTCTTACAGGCAATGGAACTGGCCTACTGTGACATAGACGTACAATTTTGTCACACCATAGGGTTTTTTTGCCCATTGCCTGGGAAGGGACAACATTGCCTCTGACGTAGATGAAGCCCTCTGGTCGAGCCCAGCTCAAAGACATGATCCTGAGGCAGAATAAAATTTCTGATGTGTTATTTTTCCTTCTTCTTTTTTGATTGTAACATGTTTTTTTGGTAAATTCACCATACTTAGGTGTGATTTCTTTTGTTTTGTGTGTTTTTTACTATATACAATAAACTTTTATTTTTGTAACTACATGCCCTGGATGCTGTGTTCTCCATTTTTTGATCTAGTGTCTAATGCACATGTGTCAAACTCAAGGCCCGTGGGCCACATCCGGCCCGGCGTACAGTTACATCTGGCCCGCAAGATCATTTTATATATCTTTTTTTTTTAATGGCCCGGCGATATGAAGCACCGATAACACACAAACTACAAATCCCATAATGCAGCGCA